TTTTATATTAAAAATTATTAAAAAAATAAATAATTTACTTACATGAGATGCAAAATATTCATTAATTTTTATTAAATGATTATTTTTAATTTTTTCTCTATAATTATATAATGTTTTTGAATTTATAGTTATTCCAGCTTTTATAAGAAAATCAATTCCAGTTGTACTTAATCCACAAGATGATAAATATAAACTAAGATCTATTTTATATTTATTTACATTTTGGCTATGTAATCCAGCTAAAAGATGACATTGACTAATAATTTGATGCTGTGCTTTTTATTTTATTCTTTTCAGTTCTTCTTTTAGAAACTAATGCATTAGTCATTTCATCTAAAAATCTATTTGAGGTTCTTCTGTTTCAATTAATTGTTTAAAATTATTTGGATCTAATAAATAATTATTATTTTGTTTTTCATATTTGTATAAAACTTTTGTTAATAATTGTAATTGATTGGAAAATAAATGCTATTGTGCTATAAATAAAGAATTATATTATAAATTAAAATATAAAATTTTAAATATTAATATAATAATGATATATAGTATATAATAATGATATATAGTATATAATATAATAATTAATATAATAAACTTATGTATTTAAATTAAATTATTATTAGTATCTTGAATATTTTGATTAATAATTCTATTAATTAATTCATTAAAATTTGATTGATCAATAAATATACCATTATTAACAATTTTTACTTCTATATTTGAAAAATTATTAAGATCTAAATCTATATATTGGTGTTCTTCATAAAGTTTTAAATAATCAATTAATGTATTAGAATTAGAATTGTTTAAACTAATTTTACTATATTCAATAATATCACCTAAATTTATAAAAGTTCTTGGTCTTATATTTTCAGATATTTGATTTGCAACAAAATTAACAAAATTAACAATATTTATATAATGTTCAAAACAAATTTGATCTTGATTAACTTTTAAATAATTATATTGTAAATCATTGGTCATCTTGTTTATTCTAGCACTTCAAGGCTAAAAATTAATATTGTCTATATATAAAAATTTTTAAATTTCAATAATTTATTTATAATTTTTTTA